CATTTACTGTTCCCACACATATTATATACCGCTTGTCTTGCCATTAAATGGTCTTTCTAAAGATACCATTATTTTCATCATATCATATAATTTTGAACTTTGGCCCCCAAAATCTGTTACGCATCTACAACCGCCAAAAAAAACCCATGCTAAATAGTTTCTAAATTTTGTTCTGAGTTTAGAAATACCCAATGTGAACATGTTCTTAGCTTTTTTGGGAAAGTTATAGGTCAATAAGTACAAGTAGCACTTTGCTATTTCCAAATCATTTTTTTTTTCAAAATGAACACCAGTTTCATTGTAACACTGATATTTGTCAGGAATCCCTGAATAACCCTTCATGTGTATATGTTTTTTTTTTAACAAGACAACCTGAGGTATTAAACTTGGGGTATTTTTTTTTCATGCTCTTTTTTAATTGGTGATTTTTTTGACACATATAGCAATTTAAGAATACATGTACTGAGAACTTTAAGGATTACTGCCAAAGAACACCCAAATATGTGTTCAGCAACATCTCCTGAGTACAGTGATACCCCCCATGTATAGGTGTGTCAGGTTCTCTGGGGGTTAAAAGACCTTATTTGGAGGGTGCGCATTCCAGTTTTCCAACTTGGAATTTTCACAGATGGCCATCATGCACCCATGTCCTATATGGGACATTTTTGAAGCCGGCCAATGTAATTTACCCCATCAAACCATATATTTTTGAAAAGTAGACACCCTAGGGTATTTCAAATGGTGGTATTTTTACATTTTCCATGCACTAATTATACCAACAGTCTTTGTCAAACTTTTGGGTAGTAATTGTTGTGTTATTTTTCTCTCACTTGTACTTTAGGCATGGATTCTCAGTTCCTGTTATGTGTTACTGACAATTACCATTCCAATTTGTGTTCAGCAACATCTCCTGAGGAAAAAACAGTGCCCCCAATGTACCGGTTTTATGAGTTTTTGCAAACTTACATGGGTTCAAATGTAGGGCTTTCCCCTTTTCCACGTTTGCACATTGAAATTTGCCAGATTGTTTTGCTGGGCCTATGTTGCCTTTTGACCGTATAGCAGCCCAGGAATGAAAATTAAAACCACCATGGCATACCATTTGTAAAAGTAGAAAATGATCATTTATACTTTCACAGATGATATTATAAGTATATTAAGTTTAACTGCTCTAAACAATCACAAGTACAACCGTACCCCTTAAGTAAAGGTTTTATTGTGATTTGGAAAGTTACAGGGTCAAACATAATATTGGCCAATTTTTGTTTTTGTAAATTGTGATTTGCCAGATTGGCTATGCTGCCTTGAAGATGGTATGGCAGCCCAGAAATGAAAAATGAACCACACCATGACATACTATTTGAAAAAGTAGAAAACCCAGGGTATTCAAAATATATTCAATATGTATATATATATATATTTTATTTATTTTTTTCCAAGTAGGTAGCTGCACTCACGGATTTGAAAAGTCCAAAATGTATTGATAAATGTTAAAAAAGATGATCAACGTTTCAGTCCTACATAGAGGACTTTCATCAGGATCAAATAGTCCTTTTTTAACATTTATCAATAAATTTTGGACTTCTAAAATCCAGTGCAGCTACCTACTTGGAAAAATGGATAATACAGCCTTGGCTTGCTAGCACCCGGTTACAAAGGTGTAACCGCTGGTGGTTCCCTTATTTACGACTATAATGTCTTAAAGCATAGAACTTAGTAGGGCTAACCATACAGATATCTTAGCCATAATTTTATATAGTGTAAGAGATCCTCTATTTAACATATATAAATAATTGAGAATACAATATAAAATAAGGATTGTCTTGGAAGCAAGATTGTCTTTTGGATATTTATTATATAAAAATATAAAATCCATTATAGCAGAGTTTATAAGATTTAAATTACATGCTTGCAAATATCATTAATAGGTTAACATACCCTTCTGAACATGTCATCATGTCAGCCTCTCTGTCATTTTAAGATGGAGCAGCGTCTGTCTCCAAGTCTCTCCTCTGTGTCTTAACATTTAAAAGTACACCTATTTATACCTCAGATGTCTCCATTTTAGGTTACTGTAGTTCAAATATGAACCAATGGTTCTAAGCTCTCCCTGGTGCAGAAATATATTTGTCAGTGAAAAACATGTAACATTTCATATGGTGTCTCACCATTTGTATCATCAGGTATGTTGTGAATGCTCATCTGTACCATAGGAATAAATAGATACCACTGTGTGGGGCAAGCAACTAGTAACTTGGTTAATAATCATTTAACCTCAGCATTCTCCCAGACCACAACCCCACATCTTTGGGGGTGGTTGGGGCACTGAAATCCCAAAGTAACCCAAATGTGGTTGCCCAGTTTTAGGTTTCCTTTGCAGTAACTGCAGGACCACCATCCAAATGGATGGTCCTGGGATTATCAAATGCATACTAAGGAAGTGAGACTAGAAAACGTGGCATCAGAGGTTGCACTTCGCACAGGATATATCCAAGTAAACCTGGTACATGCATCAACACATACAAAAACATATTTATAACCATGAGATGTTGGCAAACTTTCAATATATAGTAATTCAAAAAGTATGTTGGATATTAATATTTCAATAAACAATACATCAGTAATGTGGCAATAAGCAAATGCTTATGATTACTAAACACATGAATTACAGTATTTCCCATATTGTGACCACCAATATTCCTTTTCAGGAGTCAAAAGTACATTATCTCTCTCTATAAGAGCTTGTCCTAGCCATGAAAAAGCTTTTAGGGCAAGTCCATCTTTCCTCTATAGGAAGAACAACCAACATATTACCTTCAATGGTTATTATGTAATTAACCCCTCTAAACGATAGGAGTATTTATGCGGATACCAGGTGGATAAGGTCTGGATATCCTTGCAAGCATAAACTCTGCATCATGACAGAGAGATAGGGTATGTGATGTGATCCAATGACCACAGAAAAGCGTTGGTAGACACATTGCATCAAAGTGCCTGTTAATGACCAACTACATGAGGAGAGGGCCCATGCTTTGTTATAAGCATGTCCATACACATATTACAATGCCAGGCTTTCAATTTGTTACCACAAAGCAAAATGCAGTTGTGGATATAAACTCACAACGTATTGTAAGAAAAACTGTTTGAATACCAGACTGAGATTCGAGATCAGTGAACAGTGGACCAAAATAGATAAATGAAATCCTATCAATTAATATACTTTCAATATACTTTATTTAAATTACTTTATTCTCTGTATTAACTATGAAATATTAAAGTTAAAACAATAACATTTAAAAGCCAACTTTTAGTGTGCATAGGAATTACAAGGCCGTTCATAATGTGAGATAAAGAACAGCTTTTTAAAACCGAATAGTCTGTGAACACAAGATGACCTTGCGCTGAAAACTCACTTGCAGGGGAAAAATAAA